CATTGTAGACATTGTTACTATATTTTGTTAATTAGAACTGAGAATAATTTCTTCGTAGCTAATCATTGTGCAGGTTTAATGGTTTATTTGTTCTGGAAATAACAGTAAAAGCTAGTCATGTTTGATACTTAGAATCATTTACATAAATAGAATTTTTTGCAACAACCATCACAATAAAAGAGAATGCAAAATTATCTTCCATTTTAGATAATAGGAGATGATAAAACTATTTCCTACTACTCTGTCTAGAGTAGTGATTCTCAGATTTTTATTTCTTTAAAAATTATTTGTTTAAAAATGTAGGTTCCAAAGCATTACTTTCCAAACTGCTGATGTAGCTGCTTTGTAGTAGGTTGGAAGAAATTGCATTTTGTTTTAAATAAGTATCCGAGATTATTCTGAGATAGTTGAAACGCTTTGAGAAATTTCCAGATTTAACAAATCAGAATTCTTCATATATTTGCTGTGTATTCAGTCCTTCATGCGACAGATGTTTACAGAACTCTACTTTGTGCTCTGTATGAGGTTAAATGCCTGTGGCTGTCTGATGCCTGTAAATTCCTTGAGACTAAGACATGCTTAAAAAAAAAATCTTTCTTTGATTATACAAATGTAATACATGTCATTGTCATATTGTAAAATGAAAAAAGTGAAAATCACTGACATTACTACTAGGAGAAACCATGTCTAGTGATTTTGCTTATTTTTATTTTATTTTTCCTCCATATATATACTTTTAAAAAAATGGGGAATCATGTTCTAAGCAGATTTTTAATCTGTATTTTACACTTGATACTATATGAAGAACATTAAATAGTATTTTAATAGAGAGTTTTAAATGGCTGAAAAATAGTGTTTTCATTGTATAGGTTTAGGCATTTAAACTGTCTCTGGTCATTACTGATGTTATGATGAAAATTCTTGTATGTAAGTTTTTATTTTCATCTCTAATTATTTCCTTAGGGTAAAAGTTCTCAGGAATTGAATTACTAAGTGGATGTTTATTAAAAAAATTTTTTAGAAGCCTTTGATATACATTGCCATGTAGTCATAGTCTTCATTCCCAATTATACACTTCTGCTCCACTTCTTTCCCTACCTTCAGTGTTCTGAGGTACTGTCTTTCTGAAATAAAATAGTCTGTAAGCATCCAAAAGTGTTGTGGTTCAAAAATTGTTTTGTCAGTCAGTATTGAATTTGCATTTTCCTTAAGAAATTATTGTAAATTTTAGCACCATGTACAAAATGTTTCCATTGGAAAGTGCTCTCATCGTTTCAACTTTGGGCTGTAGAAAGACATTTCTCAATAACACAGTGGGTTTGGGGATGTAACATATTCTTCCCTGTTTTTCTTTCCTACCATCTCCCTCTGGTAGCCAGCCACTGTTGATAGGAGATGGTGGATGGCGGATGAATTTTGATGGATCAGGAATGGATTGAAGGCTGATGTAGACTCACAGTGATTAGAAACTTTAAGTCCATGATACCTGTCTTTGGCCAGTATCTTTAACATTCCTTTTATTTTATCTACTCCAAGAGTTTGCCTGTTTGATTCTACTTCGTTTGGCCTGTTTGATTTCTCCTTCCTTACCTATTGGTTCTATTTACAATTTCTCTCTGCATGTGCCCTCTAGGATGGCATAATTCTCACATTTTTCTCTCTTACTGGCCTATACTGAAAATACTGATTCATAACTATTTCAGATACAGAATCTGCTTGATAATAGCTGTTTTTTGAAGTTTGTTGATTTAGACAATGCACAAAGACTTCTTTAGCTCATTAGCACTTTTATTAGTGTAATTAAAATCGTCATACTTTTGGAAATTAATAGTACATTTATGTGAGACACTGTCCATTCTGTTTAAATGTGGTGCTAAATCAAGTACAAAAGATCATAGGGGTCTATATGATTTTTATTGCTAATAGCAAAATAAAGAGCAATGGCAAAAATTAATTACTATTACTCCCTCATTCCCTCAAACAACCCCTCCCCCCCTTTTTTAAGACCAGGGAAGGGAAACAAGGTCACAAATAGGTGACACATGATTGGTCTGTAGGTACACAGAGGACAAGAATAGTAATCATTTACCTTTTAAGGCTCCAAGGAGATCGGTTGTCTCTGACTGTTGAGGAATTAGGAGGAGATGGAAAAGAAGGGAAATCCCAAGCAGCCTCAGCTGAGAAGAAGGTGCAAAACAACCTGGTCACCTGGCCAAAGTGCTGTTGTTTGTGGGGAAAGGCTGTTTATATGAACTAATGAAATAATGCCTTTCATTAATAATCAGGCTAGATATCATGCAAATTTTTGTTACTTGTAAGTCATAGACACTGCCCCCTTGTGCACCTGCTGCTGTCCTAGGTAATAGGAGAGAGAAATATCAGACTGCTCTTTGCAGTCTAATAGGGCAGACTTGTAAGTAAATAGGTAATTACAGAACAGTGAGATAAAGGCTCTGCTATGGATTAAGGACAGGATACTGTAAGAGCAACTCAGGTGGGGAATAGTCAAGAATTGAAGCAGTTTAGAATTACATAACAATGTAGAATAAAATATATAAACACATGCACACAGTATTCTTAAAATAAAGATGAAAAAATAAGAAATCAAAGCTTGAACAAAATGAAAAGCAAATAGCTAAAGTATTATACTTGGTCTCTTCTTGGAATCATACAAGTGCAGATGGTATGGACCCAAATCACTCTTGCATAACATGCTGATCTATAGAATTGCATACTAGATGGGCTTATTAAAATAGATGCAGTCACTCTGCGTTACTTAGAGTCTCAGCTTTTATGAGTTTGTATATAGTGAATTTATTTTTTATGTTATTTATTTTCGGTAGAAACTGGTTTATAGGGCTCGATGACAGGGATAACTGGTTCAGTACAGTCTGAGTGTACACACAGTTGGGTGTGTGTGATATTTAAAATGAGTATGTTTATATTTTTCCATTTTAGTCCTCAACTTTTAGATTTGGGGAAAAAAGATTATTTCTATACCAATAAGACATAGTATATTAAATATATTACACTTAAAATTTTATTAGATGTTATATAAAAATCTCTGGACATATCTATAACAAGATATACTGACATATTCTGTGAAACAAGGTTTGCATGTAAACTGTGCCTGGTAGAAAAGGGATCTTTCTTAGGTGCTATTGAAGAAAGTTGAAATAATTTCCAACTGAGTAACCTTAACCTGTGAATCTTTACTATGTGTTAAATTCTTATGGTATTCTTTTTTGTCATTTTTTTAATCTAAATGCTGATTAACATGTATTCATATTTTCTCTTTAAAGGATACGTGGGATTAGTAAACCAGGCAATGACTTGCTATTTGAATAGCCTTTTGCAAACACTTTTTATGACTCCTGAATTTAGGAATGCATTATATAAGTGAGTATTCAGAAACATTCTCTAAATAAAATTGATTTAAGAATAAAAATATAGGTTTTAACTAATAAAATTTAATTTGCTTCTTGCATTTGTAAAGTTTGGGGCATTTCTCACTTCATAAGATGCAACTTCTTATATAAGAACAAGGCTCTCATGAGAGACAGGTATGTGAAAAATGCGTGGGGAGAGAGAATCAGAAGTGCATAGACAGCAAAAGGATACAATTGATAAGATTTACATATGGGGTGAATTTAAACTTTCCTCACTTATAGATTATAACACCTTTATGAAGAAATAAATGTTACCTACTTTTGAGAGAATTTGAATATATAACCTATACCGTCCTTTCCCTCCAGTGTAAGAATCCAAAGTTATTTTTTTAAACTTGTAAACTTTGTTTCTAATTAAAATACATGTACAGCTTGTTGTGTGTGTGTGTGTGTGTGTGTGTGTGTGTGTGTGCGTGTTTCTAAAAGACTCTATATACATCATATACTTTAGAATGCTCTATGGAGGGAGTCCATATTTAAATAAACCCTAAAGGCAGACATCTGAATTTACTTGTAAAAATTGACATGTTTTTTCTTGGGTAAGTATTTATTGCCAAGTAGTGTTTAGATGCCAGGCACTTGGTGGATAGAGAGGGAGTTAGAAATAAGGTCTTTTACAGATCTTTCCACAATAGCAATGTGTTTATGTATGAAATAGTTTAAATAAATAACACTTAAGGACAGCTAAATGCCCTGAGAGTTTAGAGAGAAGGGAGATTATTGAAATTTGGAGAAGTGGCTTAGTGAAGAAAATAGGTCGTGAAGCTAGATATGGTTTGGCCAGGTTGAGAAAAAGAGAGAACATTGCAGACAAAGAGGACTTTCAAAAGCAAAAGTGAGTGATAGTAAGTGTTAACCTAAGTATTAGTTATTATTTGTTTGTATCAGGCATTGTTCTGAGCATTTATATATAGACTCACTTTATTCTCACAGCAACTATGAATTATGTACTGTTATTATCCCCATTTTACAAAGGAGGTAACTGAAGGCAGAGAGGGTGAGTACTTTGCCTGAAGACACTGCTAGAAGTGACACCCAGTAGATGCCAGAATCTGCTGCCCTATTCTGCCTTTAATGTAGTTGATACCAAAAAGTACATTGTGTTACAGGGGCCTCCAGGGGTCAGCATAACCAGAGTTTTGTCAGAGTACTAGAAGATGAGGTTTATAGATGGAGTCTGGAGCCTGCCCTCAAACTAGAGTAGACCGAATAGTCCAGGATGATATGCCTGCTTTGGCATATTTTGTAGTATTGTGTAGAAATGGGTATTCCATGACCTTGTTTAACCATGAGTTTTAATACTGTGAAAATGGTCTGTAGATTTATAGCACTGTTGAGAAAATTAAGAGCATAGCCAGGGATATTCATTCAGCGTACATATATTGAGTACTTACTGTGTGTCAAGCATTCTTTTAGGTATAGGAGTTATAGTGCTGAATAAGACAAAGCCCCTCATTTAGAGCTTCATTAGGAAAACGTATATAAATAAGCTCATTTCACACAGTCATATATGCCAAGTAGAAAAGTAAGCAGAGTCATGTGGAAAGAATAACTGTTAGGAAGTAGGGTAGGGTCAGGTCACAGCTTCAGGTAAGTAGTCAGGAAGGGCCTCTCTGAGGACATACCATGTGAATAGACTTCACAGGAACTAGCCCTGTAAAGATCTGGGGGAAGAACATTCAAAGCGTAAGAAGCTGCCAGTGCAAAGGCCTTTGAGGAACAAAAGAAACTCTTTGTGAATGGAACCCAGTGAGTGAGAAGGAGGATTTAGACATGAGGTCAAAGAGGAGGGCTAAATGCCTTGAGATTGAGAGAATAGAGTAAAGTTTATATAGCAGGTGGGGAAGCAATGCCTGAGAGCACTGATGATGTTTCTTAATGTAGAGCTAAGGACCTCACTGGACTATGCACAGAGTATCACTAGAGTAGCACTAGCATGAAAGGATTCGTTTGTTTATTTTCTTCACTTGTTGTATAGTAGCCAACATAGAACCTATCACTTTGATTCAGAGGCATGTAATTACGTGTTAAATACGTTGGTTTAGGAAAGTTTACGTAGTGCAGTGTACAAGATTGATTTGAAGAATAGAGAACCCTGGAGGAATCTGTGATTAAACCAGGCATGGACAGATTAGAGTCAGAATGATGATGGCGGCAGTGGTTATGATATTTCAGATTGAAAACTGACAGGACATAGTGCCCAATTTTATTTAGGAGTAAAGGAAAGAATCAAATATAGCACCAGAGTTTCTAACTTAAGTGACTGGAGTAACAGCAAGTAAAGGACAGGTGAGAATGCAGTTTTATATTACAGTAATTCTTCCCCACTAGTGAATTTCCCTTGCAAGAAATTTGAGCATTCTCTATTTTATCTTCAGTGTTCCCTCACAGCTACTGAGAGAATTTTAGATCCCATAATGTCAACTATAAGTATCTTCTGTTAGGATAACCAGAAAAAAAAAAAAAATCTGGGGATTCAGTCTAGAAGAGGGGGAATGTTAAAGCAGATGTCAGGTATCAGAGGTGTGTTTGCAGGGAAGCCTTGAGAAGAAAAAAGTGAAATGTATTCCATTGACACCTGTGAGGCAGAAGGGAGCTCCAGTGTATAAAAAGAGGGGAAGGATCACAGAGCTGTGACTTATCTCTTTTTTTGTAATTAATTAATTTATTTTTCCCCATCTATTTTTTATTTGTATTCATGTATTCATGGGAGTACAAGTACAATTTTGTTACATTGCTATATTTCATTGTGGTGAAGTCAGGGAGTTGTGACTTCTAAGTCCTAAAATAGGGAAAGTATTGAACACTTTAATAGAGGGCTATACCCAAAAGGAGAAAAAAAAGCATTTTACTATGTTTGTAAACTGCAATTGAGAAAAATTAATGCTCCAGCCTCCTTTTGAAGCTAAAAAGTAAGGAGATGGAAAGTACTAATAGAGTGATCTTATCACTAACTTAAGATACAGAATATCATTAATATTGTCCTTACGTAATATTTTGTCTTGGTGTTTCATTTATTGAATATACAATTATTTGAAGAACTTCTGTGGGTACTTTACCAACTTTAGTCCCCCAATCTTATTTTTTCCATGAGATCTTAATGTCTTCAGTTGGGAATTCACTTGCTGTTGAGACAGTTCCTGTAGTTAGATCTAGACTGCTGTTTTTCATAAATTTGTGAGGGTAAAAATACCTGGATTATTTTACTAACTTACTTATTCCCTTTTAAAAACTTACGGAAAATTTCAGACATTCAAAAAGAGAGAAATAGTATAATGAGTCCCTCTAACCTATCATTCAGCTTTGAATATTATCAATTCTTAATCAGTATTTTTGCATATAATCCTCTACCCTGATTATTTGGAAGCCCACCCCCATAATAACATCTGTAAATTGTATCTCAGGTCAGTGCTAAAATTGCTGTCATTGCCTCATTTAACAATTTGTTCAAATCAGGATCCAAATAAGATCTGTACATTGCAATTAATTGCTAAAATTCTTAGTCTGTTTAATCTGTTGCTAATCCCCTTCCACCTTTTCTCTGAAAATATATATATTGAAAACTGATACCTTTTGTCCTATAGTTTTCAACAGCTTGAATTTTGATGGTTGAATGCCATAGTGTCATTTAATATTATTTTTCTGTTCCCTGTATTTTTTTGTGAATTAATAATTAGGACAGGAGTCTTGATCAGATTTAGGTTCCACAGTTACTTTTAAATGAGCTTTGCTTATTATTCTTGAGAACTGTTGCCTTATGCCTTTTCTTGTTAAAGTCTAAAGTTCTTCTCAATTTATGAATTAGACAAAGACTAATGTTTCCTTAGATGTTATTAGTTTCAGTTAATACTCAAACTCTGTATAGCTCCCAGAATTAAAATCTTACATTATTATGATTCTGATATTAATTATGCTTTTAAAGAATAAGATTATCTTATAAATAATTTTTGAACATTTCATTTTAATAGGTGGGAATTTGAAGAATCTGAAGAAGATCCAGTGACAAGTATCCCATACCAACTTCAAAGGCTTTTTGTTTTGTTACAAACCAGCAAAAAGAGAGCCATTGAAACCACAGATGTTACAAGGAGCTTTGGATGGGATAGTAGTGAGGGTACTAATTCTCTTGTAATGATAAGTGTTTCTAATATTGAAAGGAATTCTGGGGGATAATAATATTACAAACACATTACACACATTAACAACTTAATTATCTTTTTCTTAAACCTTTCATTGCAAGTTTGTTGTCTTAGATTTTTCTGACACATTTCTTAACTCTACAATGAAAAATAACAAAAATGACAAATATTGTAGCACTGTGAAGCAAATACTATTTATAGAATGCTGAGATATCATGATTCTTTGAGATGGCCTTTTCATGACTATAATGTATATTTTTGTGTTCTTTTAAAATTTAGCATTAAAGTAGACTTTTTCATATTTCTATTTGCTTTTAAACACAAATTAATGTTTCATTACACTAAATTTATTGCTATTTTTAATTAAATTTTATCTTAAAATAGCTTGGCAGCAGCATGATGTACAAGAACTGTGCAGAGTCATGTTTGATGCTTTGGAACAGAAATGGAAGCAAACAGAACAGGTAATTCGTATCTCTCAAATTGAGGGAACTGTTTTGTAATAAATCATTCATGACCTTAAAGTGACCTTTATTCTGCTGAAATGTTCTAAAACTTGGGCATTAGTCCAGTGGTTAAAGTACTGAATGGGCAATTGAAAGTATTGGGTTCTCATTTGGCCATTAACTGAGTCATAAACATCCTCCTTAAACCCTCCTCGGTCTCAGTTTTCTCATCTTTAAGGAAGCTGGGCTGTATGATCTGGAAGGTCTCTTTTAGCTCTAAAAATTATATAATTCATGTTTCACATATATATATATATATATATATATATATATATATACTGCTTTTTGAGATGATTTTTAAGCATTATTTTCAGATATTTATTAAGTAAATTATATGTCTTATGATTTGTTACACATTGTAAAATACAGTCATGAAACATTACTTTCATTTTGACCAATGAAGTATAGTCATGTATTTGACATTTAGGATCCTCATTAATCTGACCCTTGTCCAACAGAAGGAGGAGCAGGTTAGGAGTGGGAAGGACATTAGATACATCATCAGGATGAGGGAGGAGTAGGGTTGACTTGGATGGAGCTCAGTATAGGGGAGGGTTTATACTGGGTATTGTGATAGAGGATCACAGAGATAAAAGGGCAAGAATATATAACATAGCTTGGAGGGTCTGATTTCTTGTTGGAACTATTGTGATAGCTTAGACCAGAGTTTTTCAAACCATAGATTACGATCCATTCATGGGTTATGAAATCAGTTTAGTGGATCTACACAAGCACTTTCAAAAAATGGAATAGAATAGAAAAATATAAGAGAGTATCACATAAGTAAGATTAAATATTGTTTTATGAAACTATTGTTACAGTTATATGTATTGGGTTGCAATGTAAATCATTTTCTTATGGTGGTTTGCTATCAAATGTTTAAAAAACACTAGTTGGAATCACTTTGGAATGCCCTCCTAGGTACAGAAGACATAATCACATGTGACTAGAGCAGAGGAATGAAGGCAGCTTCATTAAATAAATAGTATTGGTGTAGACAGGGTGATGGTGGATCCAGTTTGAAGGCTTATTAAGTCCTGGACATTTGAAGAAGTGTAAATTCATGAAAAAAGTAAACTGTAGTATGTTTTCCGTCATGCTTATTCTTAAGAGATAATGAACAAAATTTTCAGTTCACTTAGTGATCTAGTTTTTCTATGTAGTCCTACAGGACTGTATTTAGTAACTATGTAGATGGTATTAGGGGCTGTTTCTTCTTTGTAGGTCTGAAGTTACCCTTCCTCCTTGTTACATTCCTCTCTGTGGGTCAGCACTTCCATTAAGATCAATTGGGGCATTCCTACTGAGTTCCTAAGTTTTGGTACAAGAATCTTGAGGCAAGACATTCACTTGGAGGGTCCTTACTTAGGGAGTTTACCTGCCTTCTGAGCCAGAAGAGTGCGAGTTGGCTAAGTTTGGGGACTAAGTGAGAGATCCATTCTTTTAGGTGAGGACATTTTGAGGGAGATGGATTTTAAGATATTTTTTGAATTTCCATACATTTAAAAAAAAAGTTATGGTATAATATTTCTCCTTAAAATTGTTTTATGTATATTACTGAAAGTATTTGCGTCTTGAGCTAGAGGATATGGTTTTATAAATCAATATATTATTATGAGAGTGGTGAAATGCATATATAAAACTATAAAAATGCAACCAATTATTTAGTTGTGTAATTATTAACCTGCTTTGAAGTGTTAGATTAGGATTTATTTTCATCTTAATGAAAAAATAATATAAGACTTAATGGTATAATAAATTGGTAACTGATTTCATCAAAACCTATTTTAATAGTTGGGTTTTTTCATGATATAAGTATTAAAATAGTTAATTTTTGCACGTTGACTCTTTAATTAGTGTTAGTCTAATTTTGTGGATTTTTAGGTGATTTTTGTCATCTTTTTTTAATATAAAATTGTAGACAAATCTTATACTAAAGCTTTCTGAGATTTTAACATTAAAAATCAACATCCTTTTGTAAATCATTCTAAAAAGTATGAATTGTGTTTTCACATTTTAGAAATTATTCTTAAGAAACAGTTTAAAAAATGTGAATGTTCTTATTTTTAGGCTGATCTTATAAATGAACTGTATCAAGGCAAGCTGAAGGACTACGTGAGATGTCTGGAATGTGGTTATGAGGGTTGGAGAATCGACACATATCTTGATATTCCATTGGTCATCCGACCTTATGGGTCCAGCCAAGCATTTGCTAGTGTGGTGTGTACCTTTCACCTGACTGCTTGTGTATCCTTACACAGAATATATAATAGCACAGTGATATAATCTCTTGTAAGGTAAGTATCATCCTAGATACACCTTCTTGGGTTGTTAGTCATTCCTGCATTTAAACTAGCAAGATCTAGAAGATCTTTGATACTTCAGTGAGTCCTAATAGTGCATGTATAAGAGGGAAAATGAATGCAAATGTACTGCCTCATGGTTCAGTGTTTTATTCTTTTTGATAGGTGATTAGATGATTTCATCTTTATCTTTTTTTAACATCTAAACAATCTATTTTATAAATGCCATTTTTGTGACCACTTTTTTCACTGGAAAGTACTTTTTGTTTTGGGGGAATTGTTTTGTTCCAAACACTTTTAAAATTGGAAAAATTCACCTCTGGTTATTATGACAAAGACTGTATTTTTTAAAGAAGCATCCCTATTCTGAATATTTAATTAAAAAAATACATTGTATAAGCACAGATAATTTTAAGAATCAAAACTGTAATCACCTTAATTATTCATATACTGAATATCTAATTGGGGATTATCTAAGATTGTCTCGTTCCTCCTCTTGTTATCTATTTCGTAATTGCTTTTTTATAATTTTCTTACTGTATTTTATCTATATGTATGTGTGTTTATTTGTACAAAAGGAGAGTGATGGAAGGAGTAAAGTTGACATTTAAAATTATAGCGTTCAAAAACATTCATTTGAATCTACTATGTGCCAGGGGAAACTTTCAAAGCTAAATAAGACATCTAAAAAAAGGAGAATTTTGTCAGGTTAGGTGTTTTGGTCTTATTTATGCTGTTATTAAGCTGATGGTGGCTCTTAACAAAAGATGTTTTTAGAGCTACTCCATACTTTATCTTCTAAAATAGTTTTACAAGTATGGTTTGGTCCTCTGCCCTGTAGGACGACTGATTCCTTTTGCTTTTTCTCCTACTTTTATATCGCTGTCAGGAAATAATCAGCAAGAAGTAATGGAATCAATTGGTGGAAATCCGAAGCAAGCATCTAAGTAAAAGAACTTTTCTGGATAGCATAAGATCAAGTCTCCTTTCCTCCACTGTTTTTCACAGTCTGCTTCCTGAGCATATTTAAAACATTTTGTTAAATGTTCGATAGTACCTGATGTCAACTGGCCATTCTAGATTAAATTGGCCTTGATTTAGGTGGCTAGTTTTGTTTTTCATTTTTGCTTTATTATATTTATTTATTTTTAAACTTTATTTTGGCAGTTCAAGGTAGAAATGACATACTGAAAAATCACTGAGAAATTAACATTTGTTTTTCAACAACTGATTCCCTTACTAATCTTTAAATGTTAGCATTTCCCTGGCAAAATATACTAGGAAATATTTGGTAGTCTCAGACCATTTTTTCTACCTTATCTATTAAAGTATTTTTCATGAAAGATTTTTCACATATACTTTTATTTTAGTTTTTTTTTTTTAGCATACTAATTTAATGTTGAGGAAGTTAGTTTTATTTGTGCTGTTTGGAATCTTACATTTGAGTATTCAGCAAATATAATTGCTTAGCTAAATCTTTATGTCATTATTTATTTACCTGCTGATTTGCCACTACTCTTTTAAGTACATTAATAGACACAGTAATGGAGTGATTTGGAAGATACTTTTGGAGAAGTGAACAATATCACATTTCTAAATGGAATTCTCCAAAGGAGAATGAAATCCTCCACTGATACATGGATGCTTTTGGTGGTAGTGGTGGTAGTGGTTCAGTGGGAATTGGAAGTTACAGCTATGAAGCAGTATGTGAGCAAGTTTATAACACACATGCGCTAATAGGGCTTGCAGAAGAGAATTTAAAACTTCCTAGACTTTGCTGGAGTCTCTTGAGGGAAATTACAGCAGGTGAAACTACCCAAGATAGGGGTTCTAAGGAGGATACTACCTTCAGAGAACCTTAGTTAGAGGTAAGTGATTTCTCATTATTTTCTGAATTCATACCTTTAACTTACTCTTCTTAGTCCACAAATATGATCCTATAGCATCTAAAATTAGTTTTATATCACTGCTTGCCATTGTGTATTTTGTTAATTCTATATGTTTTAAAAGGAATTTCATATAAATATGGATTGCAAAAATCTAGTTAAAAGAAACATTATAAAATTTTTCACTCAGACTATATAAAATTTGGACTCAATTTTAATTTTACTCTTTTAAACTTATTTTCCTGCCTTTATTAGCAGACTCTTGTTATTTTTGTCTTAATTGATATAGATGTAGACACATACATATATACTAACATATGCACACACACACACAAACATACACATTGATGGCTACAAGTTCTGTTTATTGTATGTTTTATTCAGCGTGCCACAATATTATGGGTTTGATTTCAGATAGTTACATGCGAGGTTCTGTTAAAAATTAAAGTGTTGGTTTTTTTTAAATTTTTTTTTTAACCTTCATCTGAAACACCCAGTTTCTGGAGTTGTTTTATCTTCATTCTCAAACAAATTAATTTGCAAATAATATTTAAGATTAAAATATGAATCAAATTAGCACTCATCTAGTTTATCATTGTAGCAGCCATAATCAATTTTTATAGTTGTTTTTCAGCATGATTGGTAAGAGATTATTTTTATAATGAATACTAAGAATCTTCTGCAATTAAAAAAAAAGCCATCACAATGTTTTCATTATTGAATTGTTTTTTAATTATCATAACTGATATTTATTAGCTCTCTGATCTTTATTTTGCCTGGCCAAGTAGGTGATCAGTATTTAAGGGCTCTTGCCGTTCTGTATCTCTCAGATTGAGTTCTATTCAACACTAGTCTGTTACAGGATATAATAGATATTTGGGGGAAGGCTTGAGTAAATAAATTTGGGAAACTGTACCAGTAATCCTCTTTGGGAAGATCACACAAAGTGTGTATTGTATTTTAAATATTCCAATGATTCCTATAGTAGAGAGATGTGTTTAACCTGGCATTTTCCTTCACTGTGGGACATCTGTTAATATCTTAACAGACATTAGGATTCTGAGGAACACATTGTGGGAAGGTCTATGATAGAGTAAGGTGATTTAAGGAATATCTCTATTTTTTGTTAAGATTTATGTCCTTGGGATGTTGAAGGGTAATGAGAATACTAAAATATGTGTTATAATTTCCTGTTGTTTTACATATTTTATTATTCTGAAAAAATATCAGTGAAAGAATTATTTGTATTGGTCCTTTAAAAAGCTTTTGTTCTTAGTAATTTGCTAGGTAATTAGAACCTTCAGTGTTCACTGATTAGATCAAAGTAAACTTGAATCTGCTTATTGCCAAGCACATCTGAGAGTGTATTATTATAAGTAGATAGTTCTAAGTACATTCTAGTTATACATAGAAATTAGAGATATTATTTTTTGTTAATTAGGAAAGCATATTTCATAAATTAAAGAAAAATGATGTAGCCTCGTATGTTTGACAGTAGGGAAGTGCTTTTTTATTTAACGGTAAAATTTTAGACACTTTTTATGGGTATCTTTTGTCATATGACATATTTATTTAGTCCCTACTTTATGGCAGATACTGTTCTAGGCCATTTTCTTTTAGGATACTTCTGTGATTGAATAAGTATATTTAAATACCTATTTATTATGACAAAATGTGTTTGAAAGTCTGGAATTGGGTTTAGCTGCATCATTCCATATAGTGCCTTTGGAGAGGTAAGATTACGTAAAAGACTTTTGTTCCCTAAGCAAACATAGTTTAGTGATTGTTTTAAAGTTTTGAATGGAAAGTTGTTAAATTAGTAAGTATGAAATCAAAAGCATTTGAACATATTTAGTTTACACAAGTTTATGTTATAAGTCCTACCCTGATTTAACAGACGATTTGGACATTCTTATGTGGCTAGTTCAGCCACATAACTCATTTGGATGAAGGACTGGTGCAGATTTGTCCAAATATGTAAGCATCGCATAAAGAAAAATCTCTTCCACAGACTGTACCCTCATTTTTCCAGGAATTTGTATGGTTGGACATAGTGGGAACCAGTTTAAAAAGTGGGGACTTCTGCTTTCAGGAAGATGGAGTAGATGTACATTGCCCTATTCCTCCCGCTAAAACAGCTGAAATCTTGAACATTATATATAAAATAAACACAAGAAGACTCTGAAAGGTGGAGAGAAGGCATACAAACTAGGGACCTCAGCACCCAAGGAATGACACGGTGGTGAGTTCCATGGGTTTTCTTTTTGCCTAATATATTCCAAACTTGAAGCTGAAGAAGCTGACAACCTGGAAACAGTAATTGGCACAAACTAAAAAAGCCTTCTCTCTTTAGCTTAAGGAGCAGGAAAGGGACAGATTAGGAAGTCAGAAAACTTTTAGACAATAAGTGGTCTGCTCTAGCCAAACACCACAGAAAAACTGAGGCCCCACCTCAACTCATACCAGCTAAGGTTGTGTGGGGGAGCCTAGACTTCCACCCTCATAACATTGTAACAAGGATCCTTGACACCCCCCACCCCCTGCCTTCCCCACCTCCTGCCAGGGTGGTTTCACAGAAGGCTAAGTGAAGAGGCAGGACTTTCATCCTGCCAGGCAATAACAAACCTCCCCACCACCATTGCCCATTCCCCTGGTTCATTGTCATTAGAAACCACATGGGGACCCTGGCCTTCTACCCTCACCTGACAGTAATGAGGTGTTCCTTCCTCTCCTTGCTGGCATGATGTCAGAGGAGACTAGTGGAGAGTCACACGTTCACAACCTCCCATGGTTAACGAGGCCACCCCCTCCTACTTGTGATATCAGTGTTGGCCAAAAGGGGAGTAGTAATGAGATACTACTGGCTCTTATAGACAAGGTGATATGAGCAGACAATTCCTTCCCCTGCCCAGCAATAATGAGGAGCCACTTTCCTCAAGTGTCAAAAGAGGCCAAGTGGGAAACCTGGACTTTTCATTCCACTTGGTACTAATAAGGCAAGGGTCTCTTCTCCAGTTGGAGCAATGTCAGA